GGGAGGTGCAAGACATGGATTTGAATCGTTCACATTTCCTTCACCTCCCAGACGCTTCCTCTGAGACTTTCTATGAGCCCTACATAATGTTAACAAGTGGGAAGCAGACATGCTGGAAGGTTTGAATCTGGATTCAAACAGCTCTCTCCAAAGCTCCTCTCTTAAGAGGCTGAAATGCTGGCTTTTCTCTCCAAAGCTCCTGTCTTAAGGGACTGAAATGCTGGCTTTTTTTCATCTGGCACCTCCCTCCCCTGTCTGCAAAACGAAATACAAATCTGAAAGTGAGAGCTCAGTCAGCTCCAGAGGTGCTGGACTTAGCAAAGGGGAACACACGGATCAGACACGCCTGTGACAAGAAGGCTCCCAGGCTCAGCACAGGTAGCTCCTGCTCTCCCTTTGCGTGGGGTACAGCTGTTCCTCAGGCTCTGGGATACAGGCTGGCAGCTCCTACAGCCTCTGCTTGTATTCCCAGGCTTCTGCCAGGGCTTACTCACAGCAGCTGATCAACAGCAGTGAGCTGTTCTCCATTAGCTCCTGTCTCACTTACATGACACAGGCTCCCTGACTCTCAAATATTCCCTGCTCTAAAGGCTAAGAGATTATTATGGAATAAAAAGCAACTTTACCCACAATAGATATTCTGCAGTAATGCTCTGCCAGAATCTTCATCCTGAAGGTTCTCCCTATGCTGACAGGTCCCACTTTGCTGTGTGTCTCTGGATAACTGATTTTTACCTCCCTGCACTTCATCTACTGCCTTAGTGGTAACTCTGACTGTAATTCCTTATGAATCCCTGACAAAAAGCTACATCTCTTAAATCCTTGTTGATGCAGTAGAGAGCACCTTCTGATTTCCCATCTTCAGGCTTTTACAGTGCACAGACCTTTACACCACAGTGTCACCAAAAAGCACAACACATTAACACCCTGCCTGTCCTTCTGACCAAGCCTACAAAAACTGCAGCGCTCCAGCAACTCCTCCTCAATCCCTGGAATCCTCCTCTCAAATCCCTGCAAGTTCCTTCAGGGTTCAGCAAAGACAGGAAAAATCCACTGTGCCAGACATCCTCCCAGTTCACCAAGTCATTTGTACTCAGGATTTCCTGTGTTGCACATTCTTACATGAAGCTACTGGCGAGTGAATGGTCAAGGTAACAGAAACTTTCACCGAGCAGTTTTCATGGAATGTAAAAGGCATTTACAACCCGCTGCTGCTGCTGAGGGCTTTGTGAAAGCAGGAGCTCAGAGAAGTGACTGAAGTTAAATTTTCAAAGCCCACTTCACAGGGAAGAGAGGCTTTCAGAGCTCAGAGAACAAGGTCACTGAACTAACTATTTACAGAGAGTAACAAGGAGGGAACAAATGCCTTGTTTGACCACCTGTGTTATTCTTCCACTCAACAAAACCCCACGTGGAAGGAAGGTCAGCAGAGCCATGGGCAGGGGTACACGAGGCATCATAGTTAAAAACAAGATACAAAGCAATGTCTCTTAGATCACCAAGATCAAGGCATAAGGCAAATCTCCCAGCCCAAACCACCAGGAAAGATAAATAAAAGTAGCACTTCTGTGTCACAGGAATGTTGTAAAGTTTGTTGTTATCTAAACCACCAGCTTCTCAGATGGATGTTGTCAAAAACAAGCATCCCACAGGAACACATTCTGTGAGCCACTACATTAATCTATGACCAAGAGCAAGAGCAGAATTCCCTCCACACTGGAAAAAAAATTCCCCTTTAGTGTAAACCCAGTTACTCTTTCCCAGTTTGCATCTAACTGCTCATATGCCATCGACCTCAGAAACAGATTTTCTTTTAAATAAATGGGCTGACTGCTTTTCAAACACACGTTCAGTGTTTCTGAGCAGAGCCAAATATAATAACAACATAAGACAAAAGACACCCTGTGCAGCCTTATGCTTCATTCTCCCTGCAGTACCAGGTTTAACTTCAATTTTCTGTAGCTGTAATCAATGCCAAAGGTGCCTCGCAGGCCACGCATTGCTTGAGACTGACAGGCACAGGACCACCAGACAGGCAGCCCTGTTGTGCTCCCACTAAATTTAACTCCATTTGTGGCTACCTGCAGACTGACAGGATCTTTGTAAGTCTGGTCAGATTGGAACCCTCTCCTTTGTCTGAAGCTGAAAACGCACACGGTGTATTAAAACGAGATCTTCACCACAAAAGCACGTACAAACAAGTCACCATGGAGGGTACTACATTTCAAATAAACACCTTCCTAGTTCCTCTGTCATCCACATATCTGTCCACATATGCATGTGCTTTGATCTCGGAGTAAATGAGGTTTACTCTGTTCTCACCAAGGTATAACCTACCTTGGACTACTTCACATATACCAAGGAATAGGATATGCAGCCACAGAGTTACCCCTGGGTACTGAATATGCTGTAGGTTCACAGCTGAACTTGTCCCCATGATAATTTATTCACTTGTGTGCAGTTGATGCATAAGCATGAGCTACCTTGAGGTTAAAAACATTAAAAAAAAAATAAACACAGTGAATACCACTGAACTAGTTGGATTAGGTGAGGTCAGCACTGTGTGTGCTAGCTGACTTTAAAAGTTTGCCTTTGACATCTTTTTTCCTTTTAATGTGTCTTTTTCACATTTTTAAAAATCTCATAGGTATTTTGCACTTGCTCATACAGACACACATTATTCTGAGCTGTGACAAGACTTTAAAGTACATCAGCTATTGCACCTAAAAGAGAAATAGCATGCTCTCACTGCTGTCTACTTGACACATGCCATTAGAAGGCTCACAATTTGTTTGTGAAAATGCAAACAGAAAATGGCCAGATATGTCACATATTTATCAAGCTCCTCCCAGTGAAGGTGATTTCTCCTGCCACACTCCCTGACACAAGTCTTCGGGCAGGACCTCACATTGCTTCAGCCTCAGCACGTCGACTTACCGAAGAAACTGCCCCGTCCGATCCAAGTCAAACACTGATTTCAGCTGATGAAAGGAAGGAGCTGTGCTGGCCCCTGTCCACAGCACGTGCGCTGGCGACTCACACTTCCCCTTGGGGCTCAGCCAGCGCCTCAGCCTGCCTTAGCAGGAACCATCTGTGGGGATGAAAGAGCACCTCAACTTCCAAATTTACTTCCAGCCTTGAGAGCAGCCAGACTCCTCTCTCCTCCAGGAACCACTAAATAATACAGCACACGGCTTCCTGAACAGGCAGGCTCTGCCAGGGGCAATCCCTGTGTCCATGTGCTCTGGGGTTTCTCTTTTTCACTACACATTGTCTTGAGCATTCTGATCACAGACCAGATTTAATGGTGGATAATAGGGCAATTCCTATGAGAACACTTCTAAGGTGTTTGCATCCCGGTTGGTCACATACTGCTACACAGGTCTTAGTAATAGTAATGGCCATAATTAGCTCTTATACAGCACTTGCCTCTTTTTATAATTTTTCCTAAGATACGTAGGTGTAGAGAGCTTTCACTTCATTTTAAGGACAGGGAAACTGAGGTAATGAAAGGGAGGTAATGATGAAATTTAAATGCCAGCAGTAACATGAGGCACAAAACCAGGTCTCCATCCTAGCTGGGTGCTTCAGGCAACACAGCTGGGAAGCTCCATATCCCATTACCCATATACCGAGTCACCGAGTTCCCCCAGCAAGGATCTTATTTTTCATTATGGAGTGAAAAATAAAACAAGCCACAGGGCTCTAACTCCTCCTGCAAGCCAGAGACAACACGGCCAGAAATTTCTGTGGCAAACGACACGGTGCAAATGCAGTGTGAGCAGAGTGGCAGCAGCCAGCCCGTGGAGGTGCTGGAGCTGTGGTATCACTCATTACTGGGAGAGAGGGGCAGCGTTACCTCAGCTGTCAGAAAACAGGCTGGCTGCTGATTAATGCAAAACGCTGCTGTTGAGATGAGCGACCTCATGGTCACTGGCATCCTCAAACAAAATGTAAAGGCTCAAAAGGAAGGCATTACAAATATCTACCTTTCGTTCTCATCAGGTCTTGGGGACGGGCTCAGTAACGCTTAAGTCTGTTATTTTGTGTGGCCATTGCCAGCAACGTAAGAGATCTCTGAAATTCAACTCATTAATACTAAGGATTAAAGCAGATAGGGCAATTGAATTTCATACCTTTTTTTTTGCCAGCATGTGAGAGCAAGGACTCAGCAGTCTTCTACAGAGGGAAATACCTGTGAACTCACACACACCTATTGTCCATCGCTCTTCACTACCTGTCAGTTCTAAAAATAAGGTTCAAGAAGCTCCTCAGCAAGCCCAAAGGAATAAAACTACAGACCCTGCTAAATAGCACCCAAGAAGGTAAGTAAGAGAACCCAGGTGTTTTTTGATTGTTTCTAAGCAAGATGAGAAGACACCAAGAAACCTGAAGAGAATCAGAGCAGAGTCAGAGCTATTGAACCTGGGATCACAGCCCCTTGATTTCATTATTTCAGCCCAAAAGCACCCCAGGAACTGCTCTGACAAACAAGAACTGGGCCAGGCTCTAGGCATGTCTCCCCCTCCGCAGCACCCCCAGGCACTGCCCCTGCACCCCACACCTGCACAGCACTGCCTGGGTGCTTCACCCAGCCATCCCCAGTCCCAGCCGGCATGAAAAGGAGCACAGGGAGCTGCAGTGGCACCAAACCAGTCTCTCTCCATCGTGGCACGGCACCTTATCCTGACCAGGGCTGGCACTGAGGACCCTCCCCATGGGGCACAGCCCTGGCTGCCCAGCGCCTCACCGCACACCCACCTGGTCCCTCAGAGGCTGAGGGGCAGCTGCAGCAGCTTTAGGGATGGCTGTGCCCCTGCTCCACTGAGGGGCTCCTCTGGCCTCACAGCCCCCACACAACTGTGAAGCCCCTTCCCAAAATGGCCACCCACAAACCACCCCCCATGGCTGACCCACAAAATGGCCGCTGCCCCCCACAGCCACCCCACAAAATGGCCGCCACCCCCCATGGCCGCCCCACACAGAGGCACAGACAGTCCCCGAGGCGCCATGCTTTATTCTGAGGGGTGGAGGGCACAGCAAGGGGACTGGGGAGGACAAGGAAGACAAGGAGTGGGGAGGGTGTTTGCAGACTGGCAGGGCCAGGCTGGGCAGCACTAGCAGGAGGTGAAGGTTTTCCAGAAGAAGTTCTTGCAGGGCGCCTTGCGCTCCCGCTGTGAGAGCTGGGCGAGCCGGCCCAGCATCGCCCGCTCCTCCTCCAGCTTGCCCTCCTCCTCCAGGTCCGGGGCGGCCACCTCATGCCCCACATCCACGCCGTCCAGCAGGCCTGCCAGCATCTTCAGGATGGCGTCCTTCCGCACTGTGCTCTGTTCCTGTGGGCAGAGAGCAGGGTAAGTGACACACGGAGAGCCTGTCCCCCACAGCCATCGAGATCCCTTCGTGTCCCCCTGCCATCCCTGGTGTCCTGCCCTCGGAGCCGATGCTTTTCCCATCGGCAGAGCTGTGCCAGAGCTGAGGGATCTGTGGCTGCTGAGGGCACTGCTCCCGTCTCCCCTCCATGTCCAGCTCAGCCAGCTGGACCCTCACATGTGCCATGTTATAGCTGGAAAAGAGCTGCTAACAAATAGGCTTGAATTGGCTGTGAAGTCCCTCGCTGCCGGCACTAATTAAATTTCAGTGAATGCCAAGCTGCCTCTTCCCCTGGTCAGACCGTGCTCCCTTCACTGCTCTGACTGCCCGGCATCCACCTTGGGAAGGTCAGGGAAAAGGCACAGGATCCTTGGAAGAGGCACAGGGTCCTGAGCAATATTAAATTAAGCTCACGGGGGGATGTACCCCACTGTAAAACGAAATGCAACAAGGAGAGGGATGCCCCAAAGTCTGCAGCAAAATATGGCATGAGCGGAGACAGGCAGCTGTATTTCTAGAACAAGAACCTGTGTTTCCATAGCCTGATCCTGGGGGAAGGTGGGATGAAATGGGAGCTGCTGAGCTCCATCCCTTTGCTGTAGCAGAGCCTGTGTTTTGGGGTTTGAGAGATTTCTGCCAGTACAAGCCGTGAATTATTGTGTTTCTCTCAACTTTACATTTAGCAAATCTGAAGAATTATCTCATGCCTGAGCATTCCTGGTCTCTGTGGCTCCTTAGCAGGGACAGCTGGTACTGGCCAAGCTGGGATAGATGGTTTGACAGGAACAGATCCTGTTTCCCATGCGGATGGGAATCTTGGAAGCACATTTCCATGTCAGTCCTCACAAATGCCATATTTACTGCTGGGACTGCTGTCTCTGTCAGCACCAGCATTCACTAAGGACCACTTGGTGAGCAACTCAAAAGATGGATAAATACAGGCAGCAGCAATTATCCCGAGTTTACATTACAGAGGGTTTATGGGCATTTTTTAATCAGTTTCTTAGCTCTAGTAACAACCCTTGCTTCTGCACAAGGGGAACTGAGGCACAGAAAAGCCCCGTGCTGTATTTGTGGCAGAAGAGAAGGTAAAGACAGTTTGTGCTCATTCTGATTCCTCCTCCTGTGCTGCAAGTACAGAAATGCCTTGAACCTTTGGGAGATAGACTGGGACGGGGGAACCCCCTGTGTGTCTCCTGGGTCTCGTCTTCCTCGGAAGCTTCTTTCCTGGCTGTAAGTGCTGTGTTTGGAAATAACCTGCTCCGAGCAGAGCCAGCGGCCTCAGACTGAGGGGTGGGGAAGGCAAAGCTCAGTCCGTGTTAGGGGATATTCCTTCTGCCTGATCGGCTGTGGCTGTCGGTGAAACCTGGCAGCTCTTCCCTGCACTAATCCACTGCTCACATCCTTTCTGCCTGGAGCTGTGCTCAAAGAGATCCACACTCTCTGGGAGCAGTTTGACGTCTCAGCACGGTGGGTTGGGGCAAACCTTTGGGGAGCTGCTCCGTTCCCTGTGCTCCATCCATCAGAGGGAACACATCTTCCTTTTGCATTGTAATGCATTTTATAGGGGCTTATGTGTAAAATCTCAGTATTTTTCTTACTTAAAACATCTGTCTGAGTTACAGCAGTGGTGACTGCAGGGATTGGTTCATCAGTATCTAACAGGTTTTCAGTTTGTAGAATGCTCTATAATAGATATAATGATTCTCTTTAATTGTATCATTATTTTGTAAGCAACAGTGCGCAGAAGACTAAGAGTCATTACATACGAATTAATTTTTACCAAAGCCTTATTTATCAGTTTATTCCCTACAACTTGTTTCTTTTTTCCCTAGCAGCTGGGATTTGCACCAGAATTTACTTCTTAAGAAAAGAGTTTACTTTTCAAGTGCTGGGTTCGTTACTATAAGAATGCGGAGCTGAAAGTTTCCAGTTATCCCCAGAAGGGTTAATCCCAGGCAGCTGCAGGAGCCCTGATCTGACAGAACTCCAGCCCCAGCACCTCACACTGTGCACGGTTCTTTCTTGCAGCCAGTTTTGTTGTTAATGGGATGTGAGCCCACTCCTGGAGCAGCAAGACACTGATGGATGAGCCAGAGCCAACACTAAGACAGAAAAAACGATGTGGACACGCACAAAGGAGAAGTTGGTGCCTGTGAAACCAACACTGGGATCCTTCCCTTCTCTGGAATAACAGCAGCCTTATGGATACAGCCTGAACTGGACTGATGGCTAACCAGAGCTCAGAGGAACATCAGGGATGGCAGGGAACATGCAGGTGAGAGAACTGCGGGGCGAGGGCAAGAAAACAGGGCTTGTAATCATGTTATGCTATTGCTTCCTACCCCTTTGGCCTCTTAGGGAAACAGCACGGCAAAATAAAGTTATTATAGTGCTCTAGCCATTATAATATTAGGGTTTTGCCAGTTGGTAGGGTAATTATACTGCTATAATAAGTTCTGCCACTGCATAGAGCTGTGCTGGTTCAGAGTGTAATTATTCTAGCAGAACTATGTCAGTATAACTCCCCTTGTGAATACGACTCTGGAAAAAGCAATTTTATTCTGATATAATTACTTCATTTATGATTCCTCTGTTACTTTCCTACTGAACCCATCTTTTAAACATTTGTCCTTCCCATGAGTCCTATTTAAAATATCATCTCCCTTGATCATTTTACCAATTATGTATCTTTTCTCTCCCTCCCTAGTACTCTGCTTTATTCTCTCATGCTGTACCATTTCAGTAATATTTTCTCCTTTTCCCTCTGCTCTCTGCTGTTCATTTTGCCAGTTTTTGCTTAGCTCAGACTTCACTTTTGCAGCCCCTGGCATCTGGTACCTTTCTAAATCAGCTGGGTAGAGCTGTAGGAACAGCCCCAGGGTCAGCAGCACGTGAAGCTGTAGTGCCTTGGAATATAGAGGGGTGGGAGAGTTGTTTGCATCAGGCAAAGCCTAACTGCCCTTATCCCCCCTCCCCTGGCTCCGTCCTCGCCCAGCTCCTGCCCAGGGTGGGTTTTACTCACCCTGGTGCTCTGCATGGCCAGTCTCTCTTCCCCAGGCAGTGCCGTGGCTCTCACACTCCACACCAGCAGCAGCACAGACACCAGGCTGGCCACCAGCTGCATGATGCACGGGCTGGGACTGGTGCTGAACGAGGAAGACTGGGAGAGGGAGCTGCTCCTGGGCTCTCTTCTGCCTCAGACAATGGCTGCAGCCCCTTTTATAGCCCTCCCCCAGCCCAGTGGGTGACGCAAACAATTAAGTCTATATCAAAGGCAAATTAGACTTTGGAGAGGTTGTTAACACTTGGCTGCTTGAGTGGGATACTTCAGTGCCTCTGGGCTCTCCATGTGCCAGACCTGCAGAGACTGAGGAAGCAAAGGCTTGGGACACTCCAGTAACATGCTGTTTCTTCACTCCAAGAAATTGTAGGCACTCTCTGTGCCTCTCCTGGTTAGCTGGATTCTGTTTGGGAAATAACGTTGGGTAGAAGAGGCCACCAGCTTGCACAAACCTGGATGGTTCAGAGGGAAGAGGTAAAACTTCTGGCCACCAGTACTTAGATATGGTCTTGGACCCTCAGCTGGTGTGTCCAAACAGCTCCAGGCTTTCAGGGTGTTTGGATCTGGGTCTCTGCATCCAGCAGTGCATCTCACTGTGGATGCCAACACGCCTGGCTTTCTCTGTAGGGTAACATGGGGACAGAGCTGCAGCTGTGCAGTTATATCCTCTGTCTGGAAAATGCACATCAGACCACCTGGAAGCCTGCTGGGGGTTATGGAGTCTTGTTCCTAGTGTTGCTTCAATCCCTCTTGAACCTATCCCAGGAGTGCAGGTCAACACAGTGGAGATACTGGGTTTAAATCTGTTAAAAACCAAGTACTGGAAGGCTGGTCAGAGCTGGAGCTGCTTTGCCCTGAGAGGCTTAAAAAGGCTCATGCTCTGCTGGCACTGACCACAGGCTGCTTGGAGTGTGTTCCTCCACTCCTGGTCGGCAGTTAACAATACCTCTTCCTTGCCCCAAAAGCTGTCCCAGCAGTGGGACTGGTCTCTGGGCCAGCAGAAAGTGCTGTAGCACTGCTATCTGCATTGTCCCTGTCACTGCCACATGCCCGTGAGATGCAGAGCTGAGATCCCAGCTCACCACCAGCCCTTTCTCCAGGAGCACTTGCCTCAGGGCAACTCTTCCCCTGACCCTAACAACAAATGACAATCAAAAGATAAATTGTTATCCTAATTTAGCACATTAAAAAAAACCCACAGGGAGGTGACTTGGCCCGGGGATGCTGTGGCAGAACTAAGAACAGAAGGCAGAAAAACCTGTTCCCCATTTCTTGCTCTTACCAGCATTACAGAGCCTGGAAACAGCATGATGGAACTTTGCCTGCAAATAATCCAGCTCCTAATGCCAGCTACAGCAGCTCTTGAGGGAAAAGATGCCACCACTTCCATGCACACTGTAAAAGAAATGCTGATTCCCTCATTGAAAGACAGAAAAACCCTTTTCTGAGTCACAGAGCCTTGTGGGGGGAAAAAGTAACAATCTAGCAATTTCTGGAAACGAATTTTCTTGGAAAACTTTGTAACCTCCTTGTTTCTCACCCTCCCCAAGTGAGAGGTGGCTGCCACGCACCACTTCCAGATGAAACATTATCTGTTTCCTTTGAACCTGATCTGGCTGGTTTATCAGAATTGCCGGGTAATGGATTCTGTCAAACACTTCCCAGCCAGCCCGGGGCTGAGGCAGAGCAGGGAAGCTCCAGGGGCTGAGGCAGAGCAGG